AGGTGTCCCTGCTCCCTGCAGGGGGGTTGGGCTGGGTGACCTCTAGGGGTCCCTTCCCACCCAAAACATTCTATGGTTCTGTGATTCACTGGTACCAACCACAATCTCCAGCCATAACAATTTGCTTTCCTCTCTCCGAATTAAAGCAATACAGCAACCCGTCCTGGTCCTTAGGCCAGAAAGGAACATGAAGCCCCACCGGCCCTGTGCCGGTGTGCAGCCTCGGTGGTGCACACTGCTGCAGAAAAGGGCTTTCCCCAGCCACGTGTGAGACAGCGGCGACTTGAGGATGGGTTCTCCCTTCTCTGAGAGTTGGGCGCACCAGTTTTGTAGCCACCTGTGTTTAATTACGGCCGTTAAACTGTCAAAAGTTTGGGAGAGAATGTCGGATGTTGTTCCTGGGAGGCTGCGTCCTCGTTTCTAATAAAGCTTCCCCGTGGATTTGTCTGTCGCTTAGCACTTTTCCTTCCACGTTAGCGTTCATTTGCCTTCTCAGAGGGGCCACCCGCCCCTCGTGCTAAGCCACGGCGCGAAAGCGCGATGAACAGTTGGCTCCTGCCTTGATGAATTTGTGGTTTAAGTGCCAGAGCAGTGGTAACAAGCAGGGAAGGAAACGCAGCCGAGCCGAACGCTGAGACGGTTACGCGATGGGGGCAATGGGATGAGAAATGGCAGTCAGCAGCGAAACGGGCGCCTAACGGTGCTGGAGCCAATACAAAGCAGTAGGGCTGGATTACAGATACGGCGGGGAGCTGGTGGCTTCCTGGGATTAATCTCTCGGGAAAGGGGAAGGAAAACGAAGGTGTTTTCTTTAGGATTTGTGAAATGGCCTGAAAGAAGGGCAGGGAGGCACATCCGAGCGAACGCAAAGGAGTAGGCTGAAAAATCCTGCCTGGGGCACGAATTAAGTAACTTAATAGATTTATTGTACCTTAAACTCTGGGCGCAATCACCGGCCACCTCTGTTGCAGTCAGTAGCCAACTCAGGTTGAGTCCAGCGATTTTTACCTTCGATAACGGGATTGTGGCTGGGCACGAGAGCAGCGACCAGTGCGTCCATGGGCTTCGGCTCCGGGACCTGTCCTCGCCTCTGCAGCTCCCTATCCTGGGTGACAAAGGGGTTGGGAATTGGCTTCGCTCTCCTTCTGCCTGGTCTGAAACCTGCAACGTTCCTGTCTGTCCCCAGCGATGTGGGAGACAACGCGGGAACCTTTGGTGCCCGGTGCTGGAGGAGCCAGAGATCCATCCCTCTCTCCTGCCAAAGGCAGCAGATACCAGCTGGGAATCTGATTTGATTTGGTAGAGCAGATGCCGATGGTGGGGTGGTCTGGGTTTTAATTAAGCCTGACCTTCAGGTCTGCCTAACTGGGAATAAGCTGGTTAGGCTTGACTGTCTCTGTCTGCTTCTGTGAAGCCAGGGGAGCGTTTCCTGCTTGTTTAGCGACTGGGTTTTTAATTAAATGTTTATTTCTCAGCAGTTTTAAAGGTTTGTGCCACTTGTTTGTCTGCTGCAGCTTCTGTTCTCAATATTAAATTCCTGTCTCTTGTCTCCTTAATCTAATTGATTGCCCACAGAAGGGCTTTGCTTTTCTTTGACTGTCTCTCACTCCCTTACTGGATATCGCTGATCACTTTTTTTCTCTTTAAATACAAGAAAATGCCCTCCCACCTCCCTGTCCGCTCCCCTAGGGAGGGTTTTAATGCAGGGAGAACCTCATAGCTTGGGCAGAAGTTTGTCCCACACCTGGCGAAAAGGTACGGAGCGTGGAAGGGTCTCCCGAGAGCTGAAGCGGGAGACGTTTTGTCATGTACCTCTAAGCCTTATTTCCCTTACTTGAGCGTGGGTACAGACTATGTTTAATTTTCTTCTCTCTTTGCTGCGAGTGAGCAAATAGGCAGAATCAATTAGGTTTCCATGAGCGGCGCTTTGTTTTGTCCGTGGCCAGTAATGCGATTCCCTGAGGCGGCTTTTGGCCAAGTAGGAAGAACAAGAAAAAGTCGCCTCCCTTGGCAGCCGGATCGATTCTTTCTGTTGTCAGGCGTTTCTCCAGTGAGGAATCAATCAGGAAGCGCCCACCACAGCTGGCAGCAACCGCCGGGGGAGAGGGGCCGAGCAGGATCCGGCCCTCTCCTGCAGGAAAGGGGTAGCACCACGAAA